ATTTCAATCTGAGATTTGTCGCAAATGTTTCCACACATGCGCTTCATTCGAAACTCTGAGAAGACATCAAGAACTGTGCTACCAAGACGAAGATGTCGTCATAGCAATGCCCAAACCGGGAAAAGATGACCACAAGTTCAAAAACTTAACACCTCGTTGGTACGTACCCAGAGTAATCTACTTTGATTTGGAGTCACTGCTCTTACCAGTATACGGACCGCAACCTGATCCGCGAAAATCTAGCACGCAAACAATTGAAATCCATCAACCGTGCGGCTACGCGTTAGCAGTAATCGAATTTGGGAAAAAAGACCTGTTAAAGTTTGAGCTTAAAAGAGGACCGAATGTGATGGAAAAGCTAATTAGCTCCCTTGAATCGTTAGCGAGACAAATTTACGTAGAAAAAAGGAAATATTACACTTTCACTGGTATTACAGACCAGGAACGGGAAGATGCTACAATTTGTTGGATATGCGAGAATGATTTTTCCGACAATGATCAAGTGGTACTTGATCATTGCCATTACACCAACAAGTTCCTGGGTTGGGCACACAATGAGTGTAACGTTAATAGAAAAACAACAAATTACAATCCAGTGGTAGCTCATAATTTGTCAAATTATGATTTACACTTTATAATCAAAGCGCTGGCAAAAAGCGATTCGGAAAACACTTTTTCCGTAATACCCGCATCTGAAGAAAAATATATATCCTTGACAATCTCAGTCTACATTAAAACGTACACGGACAAAAACGGAAAAATCAAAAAACTCTACGAAAATCTGAGATTCATCGATTCGTATAGGTTCATGCTAGCATCGTTGGCAAAACTTGTCGATAATTTGCCCAACGAAAAGTTTTTTCTGCTGGAGAACTATTTTGAAAAACTCGGCCACTCACGTGAAAAAGTCAGTCTGTTGAAACAGAAAGGGCATTACCCCTACTCATACTTCAACTCATTCGAAAAATTCCGAGAAACTCGCCTTCCCCCACGAGCAATGTGGAAAAATAGTCTAACAGGAGGGGATGTGAGTGTTTCAAGAAGCGAGTACAATCATGCCCTTAAAGTTTTCACCGAACTGAAGTGTGGCTCACTTGGTGATTACCACGACTTGTACTTGACTACAGATGTGCTATTGCTTGCTTCCGTTTTCGAAGCTTTTCGTGAAGTTTGCTATCAAACATACGGGCTGGATTGCGCCTGTTACTTCACGGCAAGTAACCTTTCCGGTAACGCCTTTCTAAAAGTTTGTAAGCCCGAACTGAAACTCTTAACGGACCGTGAACATCTAGACCTTGTGCAGCGAATGATACGAGGAGGCATGTCGTCGGTTTACGCGCGCCGATTTTACAAAGCAAACAATAAATACCTCGACGATTTTTCGCCCTCAGAACCATCAAGCTACATCCTCAATATTGATGCAAACAATTTGTACGGGGGGATAATGAAACACTGCCCTTTGCCATTAAACGATTTTTCAATAGTTGAAAAAAGTCTGGCAGACATACTGCTCAGCAGCGAAACCTCAGAGTGGGGTTATATAGTTGAAGTCAATTTAACCATACCCGAAGAGCTTCACGACTTCTTTGCTGATTACCCCCTTGCCCCCTCTCGTGAAGTAGTGGACATCGGTGCAATGCGCAACGAGCAAGTCGACATGTTGGGAAAATTGGGAATCACCACACTGCCAAAAGTGCCAAAGCTTCTACAGACCTTGCATCCTAAAGAAGGTTATGTTTTGCACTACCTTACCCTAAAATTGTACCATGAGCTGGGAATGAAAATAACTCACCTCGGAAAAATTCTTCAGTTCCGCCAAAGTCACTGGATGGCACCCTTTGTCGACCTCAACACCCGCCTACGAAAAGCCGCGGTAAATAAATTCCAGGAGAACTTCTACAAGCTAATTGTTAATTCAGCATTCGGTAAGACAATGGAGTCTAAGTTAGGAAGAAAGAAGCTGGAGATTGTAAGGAATGAGAGAGAACTTTTACAAAAAACAGCTCTGAGCACAATGAAAAGTTTTCAAATCATTGACGATCAATTAGCCACAATAAGCTTTTCAGTAACAAAAATATTGTGGGATAAACCTATGATAGTTGGTGCGACCATCCTAGACCTCGCCAAGCGTTTCATGTTTCAGTTTCATTATCAAAAAATGAAACCAAATCTAAACTTGGAACTCCTTTACTCCGACACGGATAGTTTTATTTACGCTATAAAAACTGATGACGTTTACCGAGACTTGGAGAAAATAAAAGCTGATTTCGACTTTTCAAATTACGATAAGGACCATTTCTTGTTCGAGGATACCAACAAGAAAGTTGTGCTGAAGTTCAAAGACGAGACTGGTGGGAAGCCGATCAGAGAATTCATCGCCCTAAAACCGAAACTATATTCGGTCGTCCTTAATGGTAAATAAAATTTAAGCCACCTTTCCACCCCCCATTCGTACCTTTTACAGAACAAAATTACCACCACCAACCTACCTACATCCCTTAATTTGTTGCATTAAACTATGGGCATTTAGCTGATTTAGGCAACATTATACAATGTTGCCTAAACGTTGATTTATCTGACAACATATTCCCTCTTTTTTCCTCTTTTTTAATCATAATTTAAGGTCTTCTGCTCTTTTTTGGTAAAATGAATCAAATTTTGTTCGGTATAAATTGAGTTGCTGAAGTGAAATGAAGCTATCCCCTACGTTGTAGAAAAGAATAATAATTTTGCTTCTGTTTAGAAGGCACTCAAAAATTGAGTGCCAAAGGAATTAAACGGAGTGCACAGAGAGAACTGGTCCACCAAACCTTCAGGGACACATTATTCACTGGAAAAACAATGAGAGTGTACAACTATAATATAGTTTCGAAAGGTCACACCAATATGACAGTGAAACAAAACAAACTTGCATTATCACCATTCGACTCAAAACGTTTTCTACTTTTCGACGGAATTTCGACAGTGCCCTTTGGCCATAAAGCCGCTGAAGAAAATGCTTTTCTAGAAGACATTTACATGGAGACCGAGTGGGCCAACTCATACAATGAAACTGATAACAGTTCTCCCGATTTTACACTTCCGGATTGGGGATTTTTACAGCGGCCCTGCAAGAGCTGCAAGAAGAAGAAAAAGCTTCTAGTAGCCGAGTCCGTGAACGTCCCCCTGTAAAAAACCCATTTATTTTATCTGAAGCTTCAGAAGAACGACCATCTAAAAAACAGCGCAAAGAAAACCAAAACAATAAACATTAAAGTCTGAAACATATATTTTCAGATGATTTTTACTGTTCGTCCTTTTTATACTTCGACTTGTATATGTTTTGGTTTTTACCAATTTACAACTAATAAAATACTCGTATTGAGCTCAATCACTGTTTTAACATAAATAGCTTCAGGCAAATAAACTAGTAGACGCAAACCAAGTGTTAATTCAAACAAATGTGTGAAATCCGTAGGCTTGTTTTCAATAACAAACTTTAATAGCATGACAATTCTTTGACGAAAAGAAAGAAAGCCAGGAAATGATATCCACATGAAACTAGGACGAAAAAAGAAAAGTTCAGGAATTAGGACGATTAATTTTAATTATCGCGGGAAAAGGGACCGCTTTCAAAGGAATTAGAAGGAATTATTGTATCGCGTCCCGGTTGTTGAGCTCAGCTTAACAAGATCCTAAGGAGGGGGTCTTTTACTTTAGGGGTGGGAACTTGCGATCATTTACAAAATCCTAGGATAGGGGTCCTCCAAAAAATTAAGGACCCCTTTCCTAGGATTTTGCTTTACGTGAGGACCCCCCCTTAGGAAGGACCCCCCCCTTAGGATCCGGGACACGATACAATACTACTCTCCATAGATTACAACGATTGCTAAATTTTTCCTGAAGAAGCATCAACTCATTATATCTTGTAGAAAAACCTGTTATGTCCTTGAAAATAACCACATGCTGATGTTTTTGTGTTTCGCATATTTTTTTCGAAAATTTTAATGTCTCAAAAATTACCCTGAAAAATTTGAGAATTAGGGTTAAAAAAACCATTATGGGAATCTTACCGGTATAAATTGTTCCGCAGTCACAAGTTTGATCCAAAAATAAGCAGTTTGCGGAATAAGTCCACTGCACTGAATAATTTCTTTTTTCATTCATTTGTAAGAACGGGTAACAGGTATCGTCCCTTCAATAGCGGCTAATCACTTATTTTACTAAAGAGATAATTATGGTTTTGGGTTTTTGAAGTTTTTGGAAATTCTGCATTTAATCCCACATCAATAGAACATATTGTAGAAAAAAATCAAACAGATACCTCCAACTTTTGTGTTCCCCTCATTTTAACTAAATTTGCAATATTTTTTAGTAGTTGATAATTTATCAACTTTGTTTTTGCTAAATGGGTTCAAACTATATTTTATATGCCTAGACAACTAATGTTGCCTAGCTTCAAGGGCGAGTTTGAAGATGATTTTACCTGTTTTAGGAGGGATTGGTCTTAAAAATTTTGATATAGCCTGAATTTTTGTATGACTTCACTTTCGTTTTCGGCCTACTTGACGCTCGTTCATTGATTCTCAATATTTGTTGATGCTGTTTTTAAAGATCATCTGAGCCAAAGTGACTTCCTTCTTTTTTTTATCAGTGTTTGGTAATGCAATGTTTTAAATGTATGGCAAGTGTTGAAAATATTAGAGAAAAAGTGACGTTCAGCATTTGCCAGTAACTGGCCCTGGTCTTCACTCAAACTTATTGGGCAACCAAACCTTCCTCTTTCTTTTATTTTGCTAGAAACAGAAAGAGAAAAAACAAAAGAGAAAATGTGTAAAGTTTTTAGATGTTTAATTTGGCAGAGAATTAAATGGTATGGAGTGAAAATTAGCGTAAATTCTACAAAAAGTACCTTCTCCAATTTTACACCATAAATTTAGAACACATTGAAACCTATATTGATGACATGTGTTTCCCGTTCCCATACTTGGAAATATGCTTCAGTCAGTTTCTAATCTCACCTCTGAGCAGGTCAGTTGCAGCGGAAGCTTCATTGCCATCTAGGCCGCTTGTTTTCTGACGCTTCTTTTTGTTCTTCTGCTGTTTCTTCAGCTGCACCGACTCCGAATTTATTTGGCTACTCGGATTAGTTTTCCCACTTCCAGTTGGGGAATCGGTCGGCATTTCGAAAAGTCCGTAATAAATAAAGATCAAACGCTATCGTAAAAATTGTTTCATTTCTCAATTTTTGAAAGTGAGTTAATCATCTTACAGCTACGTTTTCTGCTTTACAGTTACTGCTGATACAGCTGAAGAGCAGTTATGTATTACATCTGTGAAAATAAATATTTTGTTTGATTGCATGTACGTAAGTTTTGTCAAAGATGTATATTTTCGTTATCAAATGAGCGCTGTGCGGTGTCTTAACGTGAATCTCGAGCACGGCCGAAACATACCTCGAGCACGGTTTAAAATGTTTAAATCTATTTTGAAGTTGTTCTTTTTTTTACCACCAAATCACTGCACTTGGAAAATGTGAAGTAAAAAGCCAAAATGGGTCTTCTAGTGTAACCCCAACCCTGCAGCTGTAAACATGAAACAAACAATAATACCAATGCCTTTACGACGAGCCTGTTTTTATGAGAACGATTAATTCACACCCATGCCAACTTCCATGACAATTGAACGACGTCAATGAATAATGCCGGTTAGGTGAATTGGTATATTACCGGCTTGAGGTGCTTACTTTATGTTACGGCCGTCTCGAGCAAAAATTGGTATCTTTCGACAGTCTCGACCCAATTTGTGTATGTTTTGACTTTCAAACAACATGAGTTATCCAAATTTAAACGTTATAATTTTTGCTTTTCGTTAAAATGAATAGAGTTATTTGCAATTTAAATGACTTTGTAGAGATGAACTACTTTTGAGCTATTTTTTTTCTATTTTTTGGAAAAATGGTTGCAATTTGAGTCGAAAAGCTAAAAACACGTTGATATTTGAAAGAATTACTGCGGGACAGACGGTGCTTTTCGACCGTGCTCGAGGTAAGTTTCGAATTTATGCTCGATCCAAACCCCTGTCTGGACTATTCTTTTTCGACCGAGCACTGACATGCGCTCGACTTGATAGTCGAAGCCCAAGTGAGCACCTCGACCCAGTTTGGTTCTAAAACAAGAAAAAGCAGATGCCATCATGTGTTTTTTTTTGGTAGGCACAGATTAATTCCTTCTGCAGATGTATTTTCAATTTTTTTGACAGATTTTGTCCTGGTGCAGGTTTCGTCCTATGTTGAAAATTCTCTCCCAGCTTTCAAGCGGTCAAGTTAGAGCTTCTCAACACTTATCAGTGTAAAAATGAGCATTAAGTTTTCTGCAGTAACCGAGCGACTACCGAGAAAAAAGGCTATTAAATTTAATTTTCGGAACAAAATATGCTATTATATCAAAATAGGGGCAAATTTACAAAATTGATTGATTTTTTGTAGGACGCAATCTGCCGTGACGCAAAATCTGTTCGCATCATTTTTAATTTCTGAAACTCCGATCATGATTTTTTTTATTTACTGTATAACATAAATTTTTCATTTGATATCAATCAAAAATCTAGATTTTTTTTGCTTTCAAAATTTTTTTTTGACGGTAGCATACTTAATCTTATTTGGTGACAACACTCATATATTTCTTGGAAATGCAAGTTTTGCGAGAAAAAATGCAAAAGAGTACAAAAATCCTGCTATTTTTTGTCGGGATTCCTAAGATTTGCTTTCTATTTGCAAAAAATAAGCAATACAAGCAAGATTATTTATTCATTTGTTGTTGTTCCTGGTATTTTGAGTAAATTTCGTAGTTTTTGGTTGTATCTGGAAGACAGGGGTTGTTTTAGAGGGGGGGGGCGGACGTCTCTTTCTTCAGGGATTCGACCACCTGCCGACCCAAAGGGTCACCCTTTGTACTATTTTGGGATATCCAATTTTGCCAATGTAAACTAATATATAAGAGAGAGCGCGCGCCAAAAAAAGCCATTTCAAAATCATAATTTTTCTAAATGCCTAAGAACGCGGCGCAGAAATTATGCTCATTATAGGGTTTTTTGTTGACTTGGGAGAGCTCAGAAAATCATTTTGAACCTAAGAAAAGGTCAAAAAAAATTTCTAAATTTTTTGAAAATCCGTCCCTTCAAGAAAATCCTAGATCTGCTCCTGCTGGAAGATACTTGGCAATTTTTGCAGCGGATCTTAGTTGGGTAAGAAATCAGACGCTTTTCTACAGTTATGTAGTCAAAATACCATTGAAAACTGGAGGAAACTGTGAATTCAGATTATTGCATGAAAGATGTCGGCAATGATGAGCTTTCATTTGACTTCTAGCCGTTGTAATATAGGTACTACGCTAAAAAAATTTAGACAAAAACGAACTTGAGTGGCAAAGAAAGAATTTTGACCAAAAGTTTAACTCAATCTCGATGAAATGTGGGGGAAAAACAAGCGAACCATGCCTAGACAGGCTTGATATCCTTTCATAGATTCTCTGCTAATCGCAGAAGAGTTTTTTATTAAAAGTATTACCAAACTAAGCTTTATTTTTTATGCATTTTTTCTACATGGGTGGAAAAATGATTTTTGCAAGAATTTTACAAGAAATATCTAGATTTTTTTTGCATTCCGAAAGACAGTCCAGAAGAAGGCAACTCTTGAAAGGTGTGCACTTTTTGCAAAAGTTTTGCAGGAATTTTTTTCAAAGTGAACGTGGCAATCTTTCTTAGACTATTTTTGGAGGTCAAATTGTTTTAACCGACAACTTCACTTCCTTGTATAGCATTTAGCCACAAACTGGTTCAGCAATTTAAACTCTCTACACTTTAGTCCCGAGCTTTCACATATTTCGCATTTTCATCGCTATTTTATTTTTTCTATCAGTTCAACATAACTGATAATTATCTTTAGCCAAATTTTTTATCATACCTTGTAAAAAAAATCGTTTCTGAAAAAATTTGAATTGGCATAATAAGAAAAGATACTTAAGGATTAAAAAGACACTCACTTGAGGATAATAAAAGAGTACTTAAGATATGCTAAGGGTAGTCAAACTATTCAATGCTTCATTCTGATACGAGCAGTCTTGTTTTCAGTTTTAGTTACTTGCTGTAAGAGACAGAGTTATTGTTCCCACTTTCGATACCAAAGTAACGGAATATTTGTGCTCGGGGTGGGTTTTTTTTTCTTCAGACAAATTTCGACTTTTTAACTAGCCATTTTTGACGGAATTTTTTTATATCATTCGAAAGGTATTGTTGTCCTGAACTCAAATTTGAAAAGATATTTCACCTGTGATCATTTTTCGTAAAGTTATGGGGGTTTAAAGATTGCCATTTTGGCCAATTTGGGACAATTAACGCGCGATAAATTTCGCGCTATTAACGCGTCAGCGAGATTTAATCCGTCATAGAAATCGTTCCAAATTGGTTCAAGGATGCTTTTATGCCATAATTGATTTGTTAATAGGCGCAAAATCTATCAGTTTGTACTTAATATGACGTGTGGAGGGATGTTTTTACATAAAATCTCAAATTTTTTCAAATTTTTTTTATATTTTTTCTATTACATTGAAATTTTTCATGTCATTAATGCTCCATAGACCTTAAAAGGCAGTCGGAACATTCAGGGCTTCGCCCTGATACGAGCAGTCTTGTTGAGATTTAAAAGTTATTTCTTTTTCTAAAACCATCAGGCAAAACTTGTTGCTGGTCTTCAGTGTAAATCAAATAAAATATTCTTCAATTGACTCATGACTGGAAAATAGTGAGGCGTAAAAAAAGAGTTGAGCTTGCTAGAGAAAATAACATTTTTCGAGAAAAGATGAATAAGTGTGTTGTATGGAGCCAAATTCAAATAAGAAGGAACAGAATGGGCGGTCAAAATAGAGAAGCAAATTAAAAAACCAATTTGTTGACATCATGTAAAAGGATTCCGCATTCCACTTTATATTTTTGGTGTTCTACGACGCAAACTTTGAAAATCTTAAACCGAAAGCTGATATTTGGACAATTTGAACTGCGAAAGATCAAGGCTGACAGTCTGTGGAAAAAACTGCTCTGCCTCAAAAGTTATCACACCGATTAGAGATAACGAGACGGTGTTTTTTATCTGAAATTACTCTATGAGGCATCGGTCCCATCTCATCCGCTGCAATCAGTACGTCTCGGAAAACCCAACAATTGAAAATTTAATCAAAACAAAAGTAGCCGGTAGCTGGGCAAATAGCAAAAGCATCATCCAACCACATTAATGAACAAAACTAAAAAAAAAACTTTTAAAAATTTAGAAGCAGGTGCTTTTTTCAATTCATTCTTTGAAATTATTGAAATTTTTCATTCCTAAGATGGTGGTAAGAAACCCTCAAAAGCTAATTGTACCGGAGAAAAGCTAAATTTTCAAAGTTCAAAAAGTTGCAACCGCCTTATCAATCTATGATAAGCAAAACTTAGCTGGAAAATAAATTCAAAATTCTAAATTTCAAACCATTATTTCTCGACAAAAAATGTTCTCGACGAAATTTTTTGAAAACCTAAAAAAAATTAATCAGCATCAAAAGTTCTTGACTGTGCTGGAGTTTACTGGAGAAAAACTAGTTGTGATGGAGAAAAATCTATTTTTTCAGTTTTTAAAAAATTGCATCCGCCTAAGGAACCTATAAAAAGGTTGCATATTTCATTTTTTCGCTCAAAAAAAGTCCTAATTGTCAAACCAATATTTCTCGATAAAAGTTTTTCTAAACGATAATTGTTGAAAATTTTTCAAAAATTATCGAATCAGGATTGAGAGTTATCTTGTTTGATTAACATTTGTAGCACCTTTTTTTCTCAAAAAGAAACAATACCTGTCCAATTACGAAGTTCCTCTCATTTTCAATGGTCGGAAAAAAGACTAGGGTTAAATGCGAGTGCGATTATTTATAAAACTGTGGAAAACCTGAGATGATTTTTGTAGAATAATCTCAACGGTAACTTCCCAAATGGCAAAATTCCCGAATGGCATAAAATTGGAAATTTTCCCCAAATGGCATAAATTTCAAGTTTTCATTGTAATTTAAACGTTTTCTATCAATTTCTGATTCTAACATTTTGTCAGGAACGAAAGCATGTGAACAAGATTTGGAATTAATTGCTTCGAAACAAATTTAAGCAACAGATTTGTCAAAAAAATTGACCACAAGAAGCTTATTATTAACCGCACGCTTATGCTTCTTGCTTTTCATAAAAAATTCTACAAGTTTTTCAATATAAAATGTCAATCAGCATTTGAATTGACAATTTGACTAATTTTCTCACCTCGTTCATGAAAAAATTGTTCTCGATTTTTCCAAAGCAACTGTTGCAT